TACCGCTCGGCGTTGCGGGCCATTTCGGGGGTGGTGGTGGTGGGTGGGTGGTATTGGGAGGGCAGTGGGTTATAGGATGCGCTGACGGAGGGACTCGCGCTCCATGATCATGATGACGCCCCCCAGCGGGCGTCAGGGACCGATGACGTAGCCAGCCAGCCCTTCTGCCACTCGAACAGTCACGTGCACTCCACGCAACATCATACACACAGCGAACTCGCGACCGTCGAAATATATATGGGAGGAATAGAAGCGAGGTGAGCGCGAGATAGAAAGCGACCGGCGGACAACAGACGCGTCGTCCCCTGGCGATTTGCCACAAACCACCGGGCAACGCCGGTCCAGTCACCGCACATCGCGGTTCGAGCGCGCGTATTAGCCTAGATAAGTGTCGATGCTAGATGTGCGTTGGTGGTTTGGATGACCCGTTATTTGCATAGACTAATGGAGGTTGCAGAGACTATCGTGCACCGACTTTGCCATCTCTTCGCTTATCACGTTCAGTCACGTGTACTTTCCACATTCCCGGAGCTTGGGTCGCAAGGGTCCGCCCTTTCTCCTCTCTCTTCTCTCGTTTCAACTTCACGATACCGGCGGCGATGATAGTGGCTTCGTTTCTCTTCGTATTCAAATGATACTCAAGGATACCAGGAGGACAATGGGTACCTCAAACGGGAGCTGGACGATCGATGGTGTGACGTGAACAGGGTCGGGAGCTGTGGGGTGTACCAGTTCGTCGTTCCGTGTCCTCACATGCCCCCTCGTCCGGGAATGCTGACGCTTTCCCAGAACAAACTACGGCGGATATTGGGTGTATCTCGGAGGGTTTCTAACGCCGGAGAACATGGAAAGCGGCCGCTCGTCGCATATGGCATCGCCGTCAGCGCCTTCACTACGCGCGCCGACCCCCGCTGGCTGCCTATTGCGTACACCCAGGAAGGCAACCATTCTGGCCGCCTTCCACCATTCTTCTTAAGCAGCGTTCTCTCTCCCAGTATTCCTGCACATTCCGAAGCATTCTCATTCCCGAGCATTCTGTGAACCCTCGTATCGCCCTACTCCCGCGATGCAGCCGTTTCAGTCGCACCCTCCGAGACACCTGCCCCAACACCCAACGCAGCCCGGACGAGCTCCGCTCTCCCTCTCCATCACGGGAGAGACGGTGTACTATGCTATCGGTGCCTACTCGCCGTTCACGGGTCAAGTGTACGTGCCTTCCGCCCTCCCCCGCTCCTCGCTTCCGGGCTGACATGCCGCAGGACAAGCCCGTACAACCGCGGTGGACGCCGCAAGCTGCCTCTCCTGTTGGACGACGAGCGCATAGCAGATGTGCTCTTCTCTCTCCCTCCCACGTCTGCTGTGGAAGCCTACGCCTCCGACGCTCCGCTGCCGCTCAGGGACGAGCACGGCGTCAACCTCACGCTCGGCATCCTCCCCTCGGGGAACTACGCCGTCCTCCTTCCCTCACCGGTCCTCCCACACCAGCTCCTCAGTTTCCCCCGTACCCTTCCGGCCCCACATCTCGCGCACGAGTTCCTCAGTCTCTCACCGGCACAATATGGGAGTAAGGAGCGGCTGATGGCCGCACTTAAGAGGACCAAGGAGAGGAAGTCGGCACACGTCGGGACGGCGGGGGCGGGGCACGGGAGTGGGGCGAGGTTGGCGCGGTTTGAGCATTCACGGTACACCTTTCTCAGTCGCTCTACTATACGCATGACTGAGGCGTCTGCAGTGTGTTCTACCGGATGTACATACGCCCCTCCTCATCTACTGGCGTCGACGCGTATAACCGCTCCGCTCCAGCTCCGACCCTCCTCGTCCTCCAATTTAACCTATGGCGTGTCCTAACCGTGCAAAAGGATGCTGCCTCCGTTCTGTTGGACTGCGCTTGGGGTATCGTGAACGCCCGCACGGGCGAGCTGGAGCACGTGCAGTATGTGAAATGTAATCCGGCGCTGAATCAGCCTGGACAGGAATGGGCAGTACGTCACTTCTCGCTTCTTCTACAGGTCGAATGGCTGGCTTATGTAGATGTGATTATATGATACAGGGGTACAAACACGGCGATCCAACTCCCGTCCCCAGCCCGGCAGAGGAGAACACGGCCACCCTCCTCCGCAGCTACATCTCCGCCCTTCCCGCCCCTCTCGTCATACTGACACACGACTCCCTCGAGCTCTCGCGTGCCCTGGCCCACCTCGGGTTGGAGGACCTGTTTCCCCAGGCTGGGATGCACGTGGAGAGGGAGGAGAGGAGGAAGTATGCCCCTGCTGGACAGGGGGTGGGTCGTGAGGGGGAGGCGTGGGACGGGCTAGGAGGGCTGGTGTGGTCTGGAGGGGGTACCCCAGGGTCAGGGGATCAGCTAGCCCAGCGGGAGATGCAGGGCCGGAGGAGCTGGACGACCAGGGAGCGCTCTCCTGTTCGCGCCCCGGCGCAGGGGAGGTACACGAGCGCCCCACCTGGCTGGGACTATAGTGCCGAACACATTGCACCCCGATCACGCTACGGAGGGGCGACGTGGGATGGTGCGCCGCCTGGGTGGGATGCTCCTGCCGTGCGCGAGCCGGCGCGGGCATGGAACGGAGCGGGGAGATACTCGCCACCGGGCTGGCACTCCCCGGCCGGAGGATGGCCAGGTGCAGCAGGACCCGGAAGGGGAAGGTATTCGAGCGTCACACCTGAGTGGCATTCACCGGCAGACCAGCAGTGGATCCCCGCCGCTTCGTGGCAGGACAAACACCGCCGCTTCCACCCAGACAATGTCGATAGCAGGCATGACTACCGCCGCGAGCACTATTCTGGCGGTACGCTATACCGGCCCACTCGGAGAGAGCTGGAGGACGGAGAGATGGATGACTATCCCGCGGACCCGCAGGCACCGTCACGCCGCCGCGCCTCTCCGTCCTCTGCTCACCCGTCGTCCTCAACTTCTCAGTCTGGCACCCCGCTTTTCAGGCCCGACACCCCATCCAGCGGAGCTAGCTCCCCTCCACACCAAGCAACATGTGCCTCGCCCAGCTCGATCAAGCAGGAACCAGCGGAAAACAGCGTACCGAACGAGCGGGGAGTATACCTCCTCGATACCGAGCGGCTGTATGCGGCCATCCGACGGATGTGGACGACAACCGTACCCTTACACCAGGTCGCGTCTGGCCTTGGTGTAGCGGACGTAGACGAAGGTCTTTGCGCCGGCAACGAACTCTAGTAAGTCCTCCACGCGCATGCGAATCATAGGGCAGATACTGATGAGCGATAGTATGATATGGGAAGCGGCGAAGTTGATGATGGCCGGACCAAACGTGTTTGAAGCGAAAGATCTCATCGAGCAAGCACGGGTGAAGGAGGAAGATATGGTCAAGTCGGAGGCAGCCCCGGCTCTGATACAGCAGGAACAGCCGGCGTATGTAGGAATATTTGGCGCGCCGAGTGCTCTGCCTGCGAGCGAGTATCGAGTGCCTGGGGCCGGAGGGCCGGTGAAGGATGTTTATGATGAGGCACTGGCGGATGAGGATGAGTGGTGCTAGTAGCTCTGGTGATCTGCAACGTCTCTCGAAATGGTGACGCTGCACATAGCCAGCATCAATACTATCGTTATCAGGCGTATGCTCGTTTGGGATACAGCGTGAAGAATCAAATTGCTATGTGTGAGCTTAGATATTGAGGGTAGACGGAGGCAGACGAAACGCGATGTGTTGTGGTAGGGGGCAATCGAATATGTTATGTGTAGAGTGTAGCCGGCGGCGCCGTCAAAGACAGTATTGTGGATCGTGGCAAAAATGCCTGCAAGGTCGCGAGAACCCCCCAGTCGAGCACGCTCAGAAGGGGGACGGCAAGGTTCGTCCCGCTCTTGCGCCTGTTTCGGGAGCATCCCACTTCCTTGAGGACACTAATCCTTGTTCACGACGCGGCCTCCCTATGACTTTTGCGCGAGGGTGTTCGTACGGACCAGATTTTGCTTAGGTTTTTGATTAGGGCCGTCCAGGCTGCGCCAGGGAGTGGCCAATGCGCCACTTACCACGAAATTACACCTGCGCAGATAGAAGTACATATTGCATTGCAACCAAGACGATTTCATTTAGGTGAATAGCATAATTCTAACAAATATATCCACGTGATATCGGACATGTACCACAATCCGTCATACCAACAGCGATGTAAGCAAAAAGGTCGCCCGAGGTCCAGGAAGCTTCCCCGCTCAGTACCCCAGGGAGCGCATTTGACTCCGGAGATACTGGCGGGGGCTGGTAGATCACTCCCTCGCCCTTGAGGACAGTTTCCTTTGCGCACGACGCGGGCCCGCTCGCCAGGAAATGACTTTTGCGCGAGGGTGTTCGCACGGGCCAGACTTTGCTCAGGTTTTTGATTAGGGCCGCTCTTCGGGTATCCGCAACGCGCTTTCGTACTACATAACCTCGTATCGTGATGCGGCACCACGAATGTTGTGCTATACATATTATGGCGTCAATGGCAATAATGGATTTGTATTGAACGGGGTGTGCGAATAAGGAACACAGCTTGTGTGCTGCACATGTTCGTGGAACGCTGTGGGGAATTCCAATATGACAAAATAGAAACTATGTATAGCATAGCTCAACCTCTCCGACTAAACGATCGTATTTACTATTTCTCCTCAAACTCCTTCATAGTAGTATCTGTTGAAACATGGCGACGTACGCTGTCAACACGGTCTTGCTCCCTCTGCGACAAGATGAGTGCTGGGCGAAAACACGCTGCAACCCGGCGAGCGCAGTGCCGTCGTCCAGCGGGAGCCATCTGCCCGGCTGTATACGCGCCTTGAATCGGAAATGAGGCCGGATGATGTCCGTCAACGGCTCTAAGGCGTTCTTGAGGTTGCCGATCGGTCCTATGTGCGGCGGGTGGTCGCAGGCGTCGGCGCGCGCTCAAAGGGACGCGGCGGTCACCTCGCGTCCAACACACTCACATCACCTCACAAACAACAGCAGCCAGTGATATATACAAATATGAGTGTACCACTCAATGGCACCTTGGCGCAGTTGGCTAGCGCATCTGTCTAACAGTCTACATAAGTATGCTGGCGCACAGAAGGTCTTGAGTTCGAGCCTCAAAGGTGTCACATCTTCTTTTTTTTGCCCGTTGTCCCAGCTGATGGGGTTGGCTCATTGGCCCTAGTAAACCATCAGCTCCTATAATCAAAGTGCGGGACTGCTTCGCTTATGGGCGAGTAGGCGGCCTCCGTGTTCAGCTTCAGCTGCGAGTCGAAAAGGACCGGATACTCGAGCAGGAAGGTCTCCGACCTCAACAGTCATAGTGGGCGGTCTCCTTTTGCTCCCGCCTTGTGGTATAACAACAGGCTGCCTCTGGTCTCTACAACGGTTTGTACAATATCAGCTATTAATATTGACCCAGTCATCACATTGTCATTCGTCTGCGCGTCACCTCCTGCTCCGCAACACGTACCTGCCCCTCTGTTCCTCCGCCGCAAGCAACAGCGCGGCATACTCGTCCCTCACCCTTCGCCTCACCTCCCCCTCGAGCGCGCCCCACACGAGCCTGACGACGCCCTCCGGCCACGCATCCACATCCAGCTCGTACTCCTCTCCCGCCGCTTCCCGCACCGCGGCCAGGTGCGGCAGCAAGTGCTCGACGAGCTGGACGAGGTCGACGAGGTCCGGCAGGGGCAGCCAGCGGATGAGCGTAGGCAGCTCGCGGCGCATCGTCCGTGCGTCCAGCGTCTCCCTATCGCCGCAGAGCCCGCAATCGCCCTCAACCTCACTCGACCCCTCCTCGCCCAGCTGAGGCCGGACCAGCGCCCGGTACAGCCGGCGCACCACATACCCCGGCAGCTCCGCCTCTCCCAGCCGCATCCACCCCCGCGCGGACGAAGCGCGCGTCCAGTCAAGCGCGATGTGCAGGATGGCGAGCGCGTGCGCCCGCTCGGCGGGGGTGAAGCGGAGGGAGGCGGCACAGAGCGCGGTGTGCATCCATTTGGGCGCTTGGGGGTCGGGGCGGGCTTTGCGCGCGGGAGGGCTGGCGTGGGAGGCGAGTGCGGATTTGGATTTGGGCAGGCGGCGGCGTCGGTCCGTTGGAGAGGAGCTGGAGCTGCTGCTCGGCGACTTGCGCGAGGACTGGCGGACCATCGGCTTCGGTTTCGGGCTCGGAAACAGTGTCGTTGTCGTTGTCCCATCCTTACACTCCCACCGCAGATGTTATACTGACTCCCCTCCGACCAGGAAAGGCGCGTCACCATGGTCTCAGCGCGCACTCAGCGCATACGTGAGCGAGGGGTGGGACTTAGCACCAGCACCGAGTTGAGGGTACCGGCGGGGGTTAGCATTGGTGAGGTACAATACGCATGTAGGCCAGCGAGTGCGTATGGGCCTTGGAGTGAGTACAGTATACTGTAGTAGGAGCAGCGGGCGGTGAGTGCAGTGCGTAAGGGCGCAGCCGCGCGAGGCGCTCGGGCCCGGGCACCGCAACGGCAGGGAAAACGCTTCCCGAACCCGGTTGCGGCGACGCTTCTAGTTCAGCACCGCCCGCCAGCGCATTCTACCGAGCTGGCGACGCTCTTAGGATGCTCGCTCGGGATGTGGCGTCTAGTGAAACGGACCGTGCATGGAGTCAGGCGAATGAATTGTCGAGCTTGGAGTGTGGAGTGTGGAGTGTGGAGTGTGGATCGGTCGGGAGGACACGGGCGCATTCCCGTTCGTGTTCTTCGTGATTGTCAGTCTGGGCAGGAGGTTCACTTGGTCGTTGCCAAGCTGTGACGTTGGAAGGTGGCAAAGAGGAAGTGTTCCTCCTCTGAGCGGGTGTGAACACGGAGAGACAGACAGATGCAGGCAAGCCGGCGCTCTGCAGGGATTGTAGGGACTGTACGATTCCCAACCCAACGCGTGAGTCGAATGTTCAACAAACCGACCTGTCCACCTGCTGTTGCTGTCTACAATGAAGAACTTGCAATCCAAATGGTTCTCTGATACGGAGAAGGAGAGAACAGACAGGCGGCTGTCAAGAACGCACCCCGGGGTTTATAACCGTCCGCCGTCGCCCGTGCACCTACGCCGCGGTGTTGCTGCGTGTCCGAAAGGAGGGTGGGGCGCGATGATCTTTCTCCCGATATGGCATGCCGGTTCCTGCGGTCCAAGCTCGTGGAGCAATGGACAATGACGAAGGGAGGGTGGGCGCCCCGCGTTGTTTCCCTACAAGGGCATGTTGTGCAACGATGCGAGCCGCACCGGGCCGAGCCGCTGGAATGGGCGCGCCGTCGCGGGCGTCGCTGGCATGCTCGGGGTTGGACGAGGCCTCCGATGGGCGGAGGCATGTCCATTGTCGTAGGAAGCGGCCATTGTGTACATTGCGCGCTGGAGGGGGACAATGGCACAGAAGCGGCTGCCGCGCTCAGGGTGCGCCTGATAGACTCGCCGGGACCAGACCGGCACGTGCTCGTCTCTTCTCTCCCCCTCCTCCTCCTCCTCCCTCCTCGCCTCGTCATCCCCGCACGCCCTCGTACCATACTCACTCCCTGCCCCCCCGACATGGCCGTTGCTATTCTACCAAGGGTTTCGCGCCTTTGTGCACTCGCAATCGCAAACCCTCCGCCGACACGCTGCCCGCAATTGGTATCGTTTGAATGGCGTTCCGTTCCTCTGCGGGCCCAGCTTCCGCACTGCGAGAACCCACTTGCCCGCTTTCAGCCCTCCCCCGATCCCCTGGCGTTGCCATCGGCGCTGTGTCTGGGCTCGCCCGTCGTCGTGTAAGAGACTAGCGAGTGCCTGATCGCCCGTTCCATTCCTTTCCAAGGGAAGCATCCCGTCTCAACATTGTGCGACATTGCGCCGTCACGCCCTCGCCCCGTGCTTCCGGCCCCGGTCTACTTATATGCCACCCGTTTGTGGCCTTGGAAATGCACAATCCCCCGCCTCGCCTACGCCTCGTGCTGCTTCTGCCCCCCATCCCCCCCTCCCGCCGCCGCTCTATCCCCTGCGCTGCCCATACTCAACATGTCTGGAGTTGATCTACCCCGCGCCTACCTCGTCGGCTCGCTGCTCGAGTCCATCCTCTATGGTAGGTGCAGATCGGCCGTGGCATACGCGCGCATACTCACCTCTCCCAGGCATGCTATGCAACCTCCTCGCCCATGCGTGCCACGCACTGACCGTCCGGCGAACAACACCCAACATCAATTGGATCATGCTCGGCTCCGCCCTCTTCATGTGGGTGGGTTGCACCATCCACATCGGCATCGCCATACAGCGATGCGTGTCCGCTTTTGTGAGTGCGGCACAATACTTGTTGAAACACCTTCCTGATCCGGCCGTGGGATAGATTGACTTTGGCGGCCAGCCAGGCGGCTCCACTCTGTTCCTCGAGATGGAGAACACCCCGTTATGGCTTGCCAGCGAGGGCTCCTTCATCTGCGTCAACGCCGCCGCCGATCTCCTCCTCGTAAGCGATCACCGTTTCGCCGCCTGTTCCTCACTCACCCTTCTCAGGCTTACCGCTGCTTCCTCATCTGGGATCGCAAGATCTGGATCGTCCTCCCCTCGCTCCTTTCCATCACGGGCTCCATCGTCGCCGCCACCATCGCGCTCGTGAAGATGGCGCAGCTCGAGCTGCCGGAGATGAATGGCCTCGAGCTCATCCTGGAGTGCGGCAGTGCCCTCTTCAGCATGTCCCTGATCACCAACGTCACGACGACCGCGCTGATCACGTTCCGGATCTACTGGCTGATGCACACGAGCTTGGCGGGCCTGCCCTCGTCCAACAGTCGGAAATACGTCTCCGTCGTCGAGGTCGTCGTCGAGTCCGGCGCGCTCATGGCCTTCACCCAGGCCGTCTTCCTCGGTCTCTGGCAGACCCAGAACAACGTCCTCTGGGCGCTCTACGGCATGCTCGCCCAGATCATGGCAATCTCCCCCATGCTCATCATTGTCCGCTCCGCCACCAAGCGCGAGCAGCGCGACCAGGACCAGACCGTGCTCGCCTCGGCGTTCGGCAAGAAGGCGCCCGGGGTGTTCAGCTTCAGCCGCAAGTCGCGCAACAACCGCCCGGCCGAGCCGCCGCACATCCTGACCCAGATCGAGACGCACCGGGACATGCTCGACAACCGGTCGTACGAGAACGACTACTCGAGCAAGAAGGGCTCCGACCTCTCGCTCGAGGGTGACTGGCAGGCATAAGCGCCCTCCCCTCCTCCCTTAGCTGGACTGTCGATGGGCCCAGCAAACCCCCCCTTAGCGCCGACAGCAGCGCCCCTTGTGACAGTATAATCACCTCCCTTCGCCCCCGCCCCCAGTTGCCCAGTTCCCTCGCGCTCAGTATCTGTTTATCAACTCGCACGGCTACGGATATTCCCTCGCATTCGTTAATACGCTACCTTTTTTTGGCCTCGGTCCCGCATCCGATCGGTTTTTACTCAGCTATTGGTCCGGTTGTCAACCTTTTCATTTTTCCCTTCAGAACTCGCAAGTAGCAATTACTAGGACACGACACCGGCCGGCGGTGTACAGTATGTAGAAAAGGCGGACAGGCGTCCGCAGGGAGCAGTGAATGACATGCGTTGTTGGTGGAACCCCCTTCTGTCCGCACCCGCTCCTGCGCACAACACACAACAGACACTCACTCTTGGCTCCCTCATGCGCTGGCTGCTCACAGGACAGGAGGCGAAGTGTATGACTCCCAAAGAAGGAAACCACAATGGCGCGGCAACAGACTACAGTAGCGCGAGAACCGAGACTTCCCCCGCCTTCGGCCCTTCGCTGACCCGACCCTCCCTGTCCCCCGAGACACAATGGCCCGAAGCACCAAGGTCCCACGCTAGAGCTTCCCGAGCCCGCGGCCTGGCAGCGGACTCACATGCCCGCACCCTCGTGCTGAGAAGCCGTCGGACGCAGGAAGGGTCTAGAAGCCCAAGCCCATTGAACCCTCCTGCAGTATTTCAAGTTCGCGGGAGTAAGAACCCGCTTCGGCGTGGGCATCGCGAGCTTGCGCTAGCGTGGACGGGCGGACATTATGAGGACTTAGAACGCAGAGTGGCCCTATCTATCTATCTAGCGTCGCTCGGAGCTCGGCGCTCGGCGCTCGTTCGAGGTTGGGGGTCGGGGGTCGGGGGTCGGG